ATTTGTCTTTTCTTACAGCACAATAATATCCCATTACATTCATAGACCATTTTGTTCAGCCTGTCCCCACCTGATGGTGAATGCCTAACTTGTTTCCAGTTTTTTGCCACCACAAAAAGTGCTGCTATGGCTCTTTTGGAACATTTGAGGCCTTATTGTTTTGTTTTTTCACTTTCTTGGACTATATGTCAAGTGGTGGGATAACTGGACCAAAGGGGTTCAGTGACTTTTTTTTAAACATTATTCCAAATTGTTCCCAAGAATTATTGGGGGGCAATACACAGCTCCATTAATAGTAAATTATTGTGCCTGTATTCAAGTGTTCTTATCAACATTAACTATTTCCTTCTTTGATCAGCTATGATCAATGGTTAATATATTTTTAATTGGAAGAGACCTCAAAGACTATTGAATCTAACTTTATTTTACAGATGAGGAAACTGAGGTTAAGAGACTTCCTTGCCCAAAGTCACATAGGTCTTATTTGAAACAAGGTCCTTTGACTTAAGGCAGCACTCTTCACCAGGCTGACATTTTGCCACTTTGAGGGTTACAGAGTAAAACCTCAGCTGTTTTAATTTGCATTTCTTTTTATTAGTTATTTGAAGCAACCTTCCTTATACATGTTGATAGTTTTCTTTTTTGAAAAAAATTATTCATACCCTTTGACTACTTAGCTACTAGGAAATAGTTCATCTATTTGAATCAATTCAATTCTTGAATATACATACACATATATAAATGTGTAGACACACACATACATATATATATATATATATATGTATGTATATATATATAAAACAGAGTGTGAGACATTTGATGCAAAGAATTTTTCTTCCATGCAATAAAACATTCTTAATTTTATGTAACTGGAATTGTCTAGTTTATCTTTTATGACCGTTTCTATCCTTTAAATACTTCCTTTTTAGCCATAGCTCTGTAAGATACTTCCAGTTTCCTTTAATTTGTTTCATGATGTGACCTTTTACACAACAGCTAGCATTTATATAACACTTGAACATTTGCAAAAAACTTGCCAAATATTAGTTCTTTTTATTCTCAGAACAAATCCAGGAGACAGGTGCTATTATTATCCTCATTTTACAGATAAGGGATTTAAGATAGAGAGAGGTTAAATGACTTGACCAGGGTCATATAATTAGTAAGTATATGAGTCCAGATTTGAACACAAGTCTTATATACGGATCACATATTGGAAGCTTCTCAAGGGTTGGGTTTGTTTTGCTTATCACATCTCTAGCATCTTCCCAAGACTTTGCATACTGTAAGCATTTAAATATTTATTGAATTGAAAAATCAGATGTTAACTAATTAAATTGATTTTTCATTTCTTAGTGTGGTCAGAGAACCCAAGAATTCTGAAAGCTCTTTGGAACACCTGAGCACGTGGTTATAAGTTTTAATACTGCATCTAAGAATCACAATCCTAATGAGCCACTACTTTTCAACTATTGACTTGATTGACCTTCAAAAAAAATAAAAAGCTTGTCTCATATTTTCCAAACTATATCTCTTTAAACTTGTGCCAACTATTACTGTCAAAAATAAACCCTTGTATTGTGCAAGATAAAAAAAAAGTTTTTAAAAAGGAAAAGTCAGAGGACATGATAATGCTTATAGAGATTAGATTTTAATGAAATTAACACACAGCTGGAACATAATCTTTTATTTCTTCTTTCATCCCTACTAATAACTAAGATAACTGCACCTAAATGTAATTTTTCATCGTATAATCAGCCAAATACTTCCAATGAATTATTCAGGAAAGTCCTCCAAAACAATTATTCTACTGATTTGAAACATAATTTGTAGCCAAAATCTGCCCACAAACTAATCTCAGGATTCAATTAGGAGCTCCATTTGTATAACCTTTCATGACTGTCTAAATCTGTTTGAAGTACACATTCTCAAGTCACTAAAAAGTCCTTAAACTATTTAAAACTTAGTAACCAAATAAGAGCAACGCCATTTTAAATCTTCAGACTGTACACAGATCTACTGTATCTGGTGGATAGAATAGTAGTGACCTCAAATTAGGAAACTGCCTAGTATAACAAATTTGTATTGTGCAGGTATAACTCAGGAGGCAAAAACAATATATGTATTTGACCATATTTATTATCTTCGTGGTTTCTTTTCTTCAAGGACTTCAGTTCTAAATACGCTGGACCACCATTTCATGACAGGCTCCAGCCACACTTACTTTGCTGACAGCTCTACTCACTTTTAGGACTTCTGATGCTTGGCCCACCCCTGGAGATACTTCCACCCTGAGCTCTGCTTCCTGATGGATGAGTAGGTAGCTTGGCCTACCATTTCAAGAGAAGCCACACTCATGCACACCACTGCTAGCTCTACTTTCTCCAGACTCCTCTGCTTCCTCCCCAGCAGTTTTCCTACTACTCTCTCTCTGCCCTTTCCAGTCTTTCCTCCATTACAACATAAATTCATTTAGGGTAGGGACTGTCTAATCTGATATCTTGTATTCCTCACAGAACAAGATACCCTCTTCTGATCTTAGCATAGTGCTAAGTGGTTAGTAAATGTTTTATATATTTATCTCATCATAGACTATATTTAATAAGGTGATCATATGCCTCCTTTTAAAAATGTTTCCAATTTTTGAGGCATGTTGTCTTAATCTGCTAAATAAACACATTTTAAAAAAAATTTCATGGTCTGGCATGTAAGATGAGCTGTCATAAAAAGTAGACTCGCTGGGAGATTTTCTATAGAATAAGTACAAGAAATAAACTCTGGGCTATTGTTAAATTTCTGAAGAAGTAGATACATTCTCTTTGAGTTTTCCGACTCCTTCCATCTTTACATACAACCTATTCTATTTTTACTCCTCAAAGAGCCATGCTCTAGGCTCAGACTGCCTGCAAGTTTATCAATTCAACAAACAGTGTTTTAGTATCAGGGCACCTTTATAGACATTGGGGGAAGTGATACATGAATTTAAAAAAACATTTCTTAATTGCTTACTATGTGCCAAGCTCTGTGCTAAGAGCTCATTGAGGATACAAATAAAAAAGCCAAATCTATCCTTGCATTCCAGGGAGTGCTGGCCTAGGAGGAACACTTGGTTCTGGTTATTAAAGGCATAGTGAGTGGAGCTATAGGAGAGTAGACAGTATAGGAAGTTCAAACAAGCAAGTAAATGCAAAATAAGCCTTTCTTTTAAATTTCCACAAAATCCTGCACTCTGAGCTATTACGATGGCAAATTATTTTTCCTGACTACTATCCCTCCTCTAGTAAAATTTCCCAAAACATTATTTCCATTCAGTTGGAAATTTTTCCCTGGTCATCTCTCACTGACTCAGCAATATGCAGAATTGATAAGTGCTCAAAAACATCCCACTTGCATTCCATTTTGACTATGTTGTTTTTAGGCCTTACATTTGATAGAAGAGCAATCACAATTTGAGAGCTTGAGGAGGGGACCTCAGAGGTCAACTGCTCCAACCCAGGCAAAGAAACTGAGGCCCAGAGAGATTAAGTAACATGTCCTCAGTCACTCAGTTATTAAGTAGAAGAACCCAGATTGAAGCAAAAATCCAGGGCTCTTTCCACTGCGACACACCAATGCTACCTCACCTTTTGTGGTTTATTTAGATTTTGGTTTTTTGGGTTAGTTTGGTCATTTCTTCAAAGCTAACAAGTCATTATCAAATTGTCTTTAGTTTTATAATGTTAATGTTGTTGTTTGTCCTTCTCAAAGAGGAACAATGACATCAGGAAGGTGATGTCACAACTTGCAAGTTTTATTGGATTTAAGTGAGGCAGGGCTGTGCAAAGTTACCAGGTTCACTCTGTCCTCTGGAGCCACCTGGGTCCAGTGGCAACGTACAGATCAGGACAGGAGATGTCCCCCATGCAATGGGCGATCTCAGTCTTTCTAAACTAAGGTCTTTCTTAGGTCTCAGTTTGTCTGAGGCAGTGCCCATTCAGTGATTAAGACTAGGTAAGAAATGAGGTAAAGAATGGCCACTTTTACCTAGTCAAAACAAACTAAATCGGTCTGGAAGAGGAAGATCTTCAGGATTTCTGGCCAAAAGAGAAACAACTGCTATTTAGAAAAACAAGGTTAATGTATGGTTTATGGGAAAACCAAGCCAAAGACATGAATTTCCTTCTCCACCCCACACCCAGCACTACAGGAGAGCACCTAATAAGAATCTCAACAAAGCATTAAAAAACTATGCCATCAACAGGCACTCCCAGCAGAAGTAACGATAATTAAATTTTAGAAGAAATGCAGCCAGTTTGCCTAATGGCTAGTGTGCTGGTCCTGGAGTCTTAAAGACCTGAGTTCAAGTCCAAACTGACCAGCTGTGTGACCCTAGAGGGTCACTCAATCTCCACCTGCCTCAGTTTCTTCATTGTTAAACCGGTGATAGCAACTGCTACCTCCTAGGGTTGTTGTGAGTATGAAAGAAGCTACCTTATAAAATGTATTATTACCACTTAAGTTAACCCCTTTGGTACTGTTATTATCCCCATTTTACAGGGGAGGAAACTGAGGCTGAGTGACTTGCTGGGGGTCACAGAGCTAGTAACTGCAGCCTCTGAAGTCCAATACTAGTTTATCCCCTCGGCCTCCTCGCCGCCCAACAGCTCCGGAGCCCGGCCTATCTACGAATGTAGCTTTACTGTATCCGACAGTGTGTGTCTGGGTCTTGGGCCTCTAGATCTCGCTGAGCCCTGGCTCCTCAGCTAAAATCCCTGTCATGCTACTCCTCTTTCCGCGTCGGAGCCGCCCTGACACCAGACGGGAGGCAGACGAGCGCGGAAAGCAGACGAGCGCAGGAGGCGACGGTGCAGACGCGACTGCGCCCAGGCACCAAGCGAACCGGGCGCCCGAACGCCCGAGGGAGGGACCAGGCCGTGAGGCGACTGCGATTTGTCGGGGGCGGGGCCTGAGGCGGGACTTCCCGCCTCCTCCCGCCCCCCTCCTCTCCTCTGGCCAGTTACCTTCATGGTTGCTCCTCGGGGCTCGCCCTCTCTAGTAACGGGCTCCGGAAACGCGCGCTGGTGTGCACTGGAAAGGGCTCCTCCGGGCCTTGCCTTCTTAGGGTCCGTCCACCTTTCACACTCGGGCTCTTTCTGAGGTGGAGAGCGAAGCGGGAGAGCCGGGGCCGAGGCGCCGGGAGCTGTAGTAGGCCTCTCTCGGGGCTGTGCAGGTCGGAATCCCACTTCATTGTCTCTCCTTCCCGGGGTGGGAGGCCGGCTGCAGAGCCCCGGCCTGAGATGGGGCCTAGGGCCCCGGGAGCGGGACGCTGGGCCTGGGAGCGTGGCGATATTGGGGGTGAGGGGAATGACAAGATTTACCTTCACCCTGGTGCCCATTGGAAGCCCCCCCTCCAAACACACACCCTACCTGCTTCATCATGCTACTTCATACATATACATGCATGTGTGCATGTTTACATAAGAATACACAGGTATACATACTTGTATGCATAGTGCGTGCAAGTGTTGTATGTATGTACACACACACACGCACACACGCACATATTTATTTCCAAAGGTCAACTAGGTGGCGCTGGGCCTGATGTGAGGAAGACTTCTTCCTGAGTTCAAATCCAGCATCCGGCACTTACGAGCTGTGGGGCCCTGGTAGATAACCTTGGACCCTGTCTGCCTCAGTTTCCTCATCAGTAAAATGAGCTGGGGAAGGAAATGAAAAACCACTCCTCTTTGGGGTCAAGGAGAGTTGGGTGGGACTGAACAATAACATAGTCTCCAAAAATAGAGTTTTAAGCTATTGAAATGTGTGACTGCTCTGAGACTTTTGGGACAGTGTGTGTATGTGTGTGTGTGTGTGTGTGTGTGTGTGTTTGTGTACACACATACATATAGACATCTATATGTGTACCTGTGTATACATGTTTATGCATATGTGCACTTATATATCTATAATTACATATACATATATACACATGCATATTGTATAAATGTATATTTGCATTTAAGTTTACACATATATTTTGCATATATAAATAAATTCATGTACATGCATATATGAACATATATGTGCCCTTGTTATCCTTCATTAGAATGTAGGCTCCTTTCAAGTAGGGATTATTTTCATCCTTTATATTTGTCTACCCCACACCTAATATAGTACCAGCCACATTGGTTTTGATTGATTTAGCCTCAGAGAATAATTTTAGAAAGGATGAACCATCCTGTGTAGATTACAGAGTGTTTTCAGTGGGGAAGGTGAGCATGGAAAGGAAGGGACCATCAGAGATGTGGAGGATAGGCAATAATAATACATTGTTGTAGATTTAACAGCAAAGCGATAAGGGTGTCCTTGAGGTTAAAATGATTAAATAGCTCTGGGATTCTTAAGAGCACTGAACTTGGATTCATAAGACCTGGGATCCTTGTGTTGGATTTGTTACTGGCAGTTGGACTTCAGACAAGTCCTTAACATCTCGAGATCTCAGATGGTTCACCTATGAAATGCAAGGTCACTAAGACCCTTTTTATTTCGAACATTTTTATTCTTGACTTTGCCAAGTTGTTTCTTAGCAATGTTGGCCAGTTAGGAAAGTTAGTTGAACTTCTTAGTGTCATTTTTGAATCATTTGATGATGATAATAGAAACTATTCACATTCCATATTTATAAAAGCACTTTACATAACCCCCCCAACTTAAAACCTTCAATTCTGTGAGGTACATAGTACATACTACATTGAGGCAACTAGATAGTATAGTGCATAAAATGCTGAACTTGGAGTCTGGAAGACCTTAAGTCAAAATCTGCCTCACGTACTTTACTGACTTGTGACACTGCTCAGGTTTCCACTTCTGTTAAATGAGTCAGTCAGTAAATATTTATTAAGTGCCTACTATGTGCCAGCAAACAAGTGGAGTCAGAGATAGCCCTGAAATTCAGAAACTTAAGTGATTACCTTGTGTGGAGATCGTATGTAACATAGCCAGACAGCATAATGGATAGAGGTCCAGACTTGAAGTCAGAAAGACTCATCTTCCTGAGTTCAAATGTGGCCTTGGACGCAATAGTCGTATGACCCTGGGCAAGTCACTTAACCTCAATTGCCTCACTTTCCTCGTCTGTAAAAAGAAACTGGAGAAGGAAAGGGCAAAACCACTCCAGTATCATTGCCAAGAAAATCCCAAATGTGGTCATGAAGAGTAAGCCATGATTGAAACAACTGAACAATGGCAGCAAAGGAAATCATGTGTAGAGATTGAGTGGCACAACAAAAATAATACTCAGCACCTGGATCCAAGACTCTTCAAGGGCAAGGAATGTTTCATTTTTGTTTTTCTGTATTTGGTACCTGCAACACTGCCTTATCGATGATTTTGTTGAACTCCTGTCTATAGCATGGGTTCTTAATCATTGTCTTTAATACCTTATCTAAGGCAGGTGATCTCTAAGACCTTGTTTTCATTCTATTCAATAGGAAAAGGCATACCTGAGTGACTGAAGTTCCCAGAACAGTTTTGAATCAAACAAGTATTTATTGCCACTTATGTACTATGGTGGGTTTTATAGGGAGAGCAAAAGAAGCAGAAGTTTATAATCCCTTTACCCAGAATGGTATGTCTCTAGTTAGAGCATGGACTGGAGCTATGATTTCATTGATATAGTGAACTCACGGGTTGGCATCTTTTTTGCAGAGAGTTGAATAGAAGACTGAGGGCTTAAGTGACTTAACCCCAGAAGGTTGTTGACCAGTGTGTGGCAGAAGTAGGACTTAAACCCAGGTCTTCTTGGCCCCAAGGCCATTACTGCACTCTGTGTCTCACATTTTCTTTAGTTGGGTAGATACAATTTATTCATATTTGGAAGAAAACTGGAACCATAACAGGAAATAAGTGCCAAATGAGTGGTACAATTAGGGGCTTTAGGGGTTCAGAGAATAAAAAGATCATTACCAACCTGGGGTAACCATGAAAAACTTAGTGCTTTATGTAGAATTTGATTTGATCCTTGAAAGATAAATATTTCTTAGAATTAGGAGTGATGGTAAATTTCAGGCAGAGGGAGTAAAATGAGCAAAAACAGGACACCAGGAAAGCACAAAATATGTGTGTAGGCCTGTTAGATTGGAACAGAGGATTTTTTTTTGAAGGGAAAGTAATGGGAGAAAAACATGGTAAGATATGTTGGGGACAAGTTATTGGAGTTAATTAAGACTCAAAGAATTTATTCTACATGGAATAGAGAGCTAGTGAGGCATGATGTTTTTGTTGTGGTTTTAATTTTTATTTGTTAAACTCTTCACTATGTGCAGGATCCCCTGCTTGGTGCTGAGGCTATAGAGATAAAAATGAAACTGCTCTTGCCTCCAAAGAACTTATATTCCACTGGACCAGATCTCTGTAATGCCCTTTGTTCAGCACTTGGCACAGTGTTGCTGCACACAATATGTTGCTTTTATCCTTTAATTTCCCCCCCGGCCCTTTTTTGTTGATACCCTTTGTTTATCACTTTCATTTCTAGTATATGCCTTCCTTCCCTTGTCCCACAATATATTCCTTGTAAAAAGATTTAAGAAGAAATTTTTTTTTCCAAAGGCACTTCAACAACACCAAGATGTAAACTGAATCTGACTGTGTATTCAAAATTCCATACCTTTGACCCTTGCCTCTGGAAAGAGGAGAGAGGGGAACATTTTTTTTCCTATTCACTGGGCCAAGCTTGCTCATTGTAATTATACAGCATATAGCATGGAGTGCCAGGCCTAGAGACATGAAGTCCTGAGTTTAAATTCTACCTCAGACAGTAATCAACTGTCTGACCCTGGGCAAGTTACTTAACCTCTGTTTGCCTCAATTTCCTCATCTATAAAACAAGGATTATAATAGTACCTGCGTCACCGGGTTTTTGTGAGGATTAAATGAGATAATATTTGTAAAGCACTTAGCTGCAATACTTGGCACATAGTAAACACTATGTAAACGTTAAACTATCATCATCATTATTATTATTAAGTTTAATTTTTTTAGTTTACATTTTTTAAGTCATTTTGCCTATTGTTTTCTTGGTTCTTGTTACTCTGCATTAGTCGTTATGTCTTCCCATTCTTTTGTGAATTCTTCATATTTGTCAATTCTTGGACACAATAATATTGCAGTACATTCATGTGCCACAATTTGTTTGGCTATTCTCCACTCAGTGTTTACTTTGTTTCTAGTTGCTCCCTACAACAGAATGAGCTGACATGAATACTTTGATGTATACAGATGTATTTGATGTATCCTGTCTTAAACTTTCTTGGGGGGGTGTGTGCCTAGCAGCAGAATATCTGGGGCAAATATATTTTAATCACTTTTTTAGCCTAATTCCAAGTTGCTCTTCCGAATGGTTTGATCAATTCACAGCTCCACTAATAGCATACTAATGTGACTGTCTTCTGTCAATCAATCATCAATCAATAAACATTTATTAAGCACATTCTATGTGCCAGGCATTGTGCTAAGTATGAGGGGTACAAAAAGAGGTAAAAGCACAAAGTGCTTACAGTCGTATGGGGGAAACAGTATACAAACAAAGATATACAAAGCAAACTATGTGTAAGATAAATAGGAAATGTAAGATTTTAATTGGGATTTAAAGAAGGCTAAGGAGGTCAATAGTCAGAGAAGAATGGGGAGAACATTCTTCTGCACCATTGACTCTTCCTGTTTTTCATCTTTGCCAATTTGCTTCATGTTAAGGGAAACCTTGGAGTTTGGGTTTTTTTTTATTTGTGTTTCATTTATCGTTTGGAGTAATCTTTCATTTTGTTAATAGTTTGCAATTCTTTTGAAAATTGTTTATTCATATCTTTTAACCCTTTATCTATTGGCTCTTGTTCATATATGTGTGTGTATGCATATATAGTATACATATATTATATGTGTATATTCATATATACAAACTGTCAGTTCTAATCATTCATGGTAGTATGTTTTACAAAGTTGCCATAAATACTGAAACATTGTTCCTAGGGGAAATACAGGGTTAGGTTCCTGTGAGCTTCTGGTCACATTTACTTTAGCACTTTCTGGATCGACCTCATATATGGATCAGTGAATTTCCTCTTCCTTTTTTTTGGTGTGTAGTATTATTGATTCATTAACATTGAACTGATGGCAACAGCAATATATAACTCTTGCCTGAATGAAGCTTATCTAACACATGGATTTTCTCCTTAAGGTACACCACAGCCTTCTTGTGCATAGTAACACTTAGCACTTTAGCACTGTGCTTGGGTGCCATTTTAAACAGCAAAGTTCCCAACAAAAAGCACAAAAATTTTTTTAGATGACAATTACATAGACCATGAAAAAGGGCACTTATTTATAGTTTGAGGTCTGAAAC